CTAGAAAATAAGGGAAAATGTCTTAAATTAAGTATATTTACCCTTCATTTGAGTTGGTAAATGAGATGATTTGCCAATGGAATTAGTATTTTTACTCTTAAAATAAGATAATTAGATAATATGTGCTTGAAATAAGACAATGCAGTTTTGTTTTCTTATTTTAAGTGTAAATTGTCTTGTTCCATTGGCAAAATGTCTCTTTTATCTCCTCAATCCAAGAACAAATGCACTTATTTTAAGAAAAATTACTTATCTAGATTTTGATTTTTTTCCAGTGTAGGGATTGCCTTTGAGTCGATGCAATCAGCTGGTTTTCCTTAGATAAAAAAACTTTGAATCAATCTGACTGGATGATCTGATGAACTGGAAAGTGCCTCGATGTGAATTGGAGCTATAGAAATAAACTGAATTGAAGTTTTATTCTACCAAATAAAATCCAAGTTGTCTTTATGTGATGAAATTTTAAGAGCTTTCAGTATTTTGCTTAAGAACAGAACTTATTTTATGTCACTCTGAGTGAAATAGTGCAAACTGCTGCCACCTTGGCTAGTTAGGAACACTGGCTGCTCAGTAATCCCCTCAGCCACCCAGATTTAAGAGGCTATTTTTGCAGACTCTTAGTCTGAGTCTCTGGCTTTACGGATAAGTAGTTTCTCTGTCTCAGTCGTTTTCTTGGTTTTTTAAATGGGGACTTTAGGTAGTTTTATAGAAAATTTAATTGGGAAGCTAAAACTGTCTAATTCAGAAAGAAAAAAACGTTCCTAATGCAGTCTGGTGGTTAATAACAAAAATAAATCTCCTTCAGGTGTTTACCGTCTCCGTCCAACAGGAAGCAGGTAAGCAGGCGGGGACACACCTCCTCCAAAACAGAGCAGAATGAGGAGAAAGCAGCGGGCCCCTTGGAGGACAGGTGATTTAGGAACACCTCTGCTCGTCCCCTGCTGGTCTCCTGCCCCAGGATCTCCTTGTACTCCACCAGTGAGAAGACCTTATCATACACCAGGTAAGGCAGCACGGCGCTGACATCCAGCTCACGGAGGATCTGCTCTCTGTGTTCTTTGAGGATCTTAGCCGCCCATCTCTTCCTCTTCCTGCTGCATGGCCTCTTGCCAGATTTCTGCTGCTTCTTCTGCTTTTTCACAAACCACTTCTTGGTGCCGCTGCCGAACATCCTTAAATCATGAAGGCCCAACAGAACGTCTCCCACTGCTCTGTCAGCACAGCTCCCAAAGGAGAGGAGGCGCATATTTCATACCAGCATGAAGACTCTGCCACATATTTCTTTGAGCTCTCCTTTTGTTGTTGTCTGAGTCGTTTATCTGGGACAAGAAGAAACAATCTGGACAGTAGCTGATTTTTAGCTGGGTACTTAACAGCTCTAAGAAGATTAACAGCCTCTTAAGTTTAGCCATGCACAATGCTCTACGCTCCTCAGACATCCTCAACATGTTGTGCATCGTCTCCTCTGTCTTCTTGGAAGATTAAAGCATTCACTCATTCAGACCAGGCTAAAAAAACGTCTCTATTCTTCTTCTCCCTCCATGCTCCTTCACAGAGAATATTTTAGAAGTTATTTCGGTCCTGCTGACTGGCCCAAAAAGCTCCAGGGACCTAGAAAACAAGGTTAGTGATTCAACTCCTCCACTCATTGTGAAAACTTGTGTAAAGTGAATGAGACGTACAGCTAAAGTGCCTCCTGAGCCGGAAAGTTTAAGAGTTCATCAGTTCATTGATCAGCACTCCAACAACTTCACCTCCCCAGTTATTGCTGTGAATGTGACACCTGATTAAAACAAGATTAAAACCCTTTCCCTGGGTGCAACGACCCATCAGGCCGAACCGCAGAGAAGCAGTTAACATGTGATAGGATGGAGAAAGGGCGTTTAAAGGGGGAACTTAATGTATTGTACTGAAAATCTATAAAAAAAAGGAGTAAAAGCAAAACGAATCGATACGACCTTGGACCAAATTTTCATCCAGCTGCTGTGACTGAGGTGAGGAGGATTGCCTCTTTTCCAGAAGGGGGTGCCGTTTCATATGTCAATCTTATCTGAAGGACCAACTGAAATTCTGCAAGGGGATCATTTTTTCTAACTCTTTTGAAATCAGTCATTATATTCTAGCACCCTTAAAGTAAATACAACCCAAATGCAGAGGTGAGTTTTGTAGATTTAATGAAGTATTTACAGGAAACTGAGGCAGGAATCCAAAAATCCAACATAACAAAATATAGAAAAAAAAAACAGAACCTTGGAGACATCAGGGAAAACATACAACCAGGAAAAGATGAGGGAACTGAACAGGGAGAGTATAAATAGGAGACAGAACAAAGACTGGACTAATGAGCTGATTGGGAGCAGGTGGAACAGAGGAGTCTAGAAGGGAGCGAGGGAGAGGAGATATACACCGGAAAAAATAGAGATCTTGATAAGTCATTTTTTTCTAAAAATTAGTAAATATTTCTTGGATTGTGGAGGTAAAAGAGACATTTTGCCAATGGAACAAGACAAATTACACTTAAAATAAAAAAATAATCGGTATCGGCCTTAAACTTGAATATCGGACATCGGTCACCCCACCGATATTTAACCCGATATTTGATCAGCTTCTGAGTTTCTAAAGTCTAAAAAAAAATAAATATACTACTTCTTCTTCTTCCTCAAAAACTTCTTTTTTACAGACTTAAAAACTTCTAAAGACGAGGGAAAAAATATTGATCCATTAAAATATCCCAATATCTTCATATGCTGATATATTGCCATTTAAAAACACCATATCAATCTCTTTTACTAATGAAATATTGCTATAAGTCATGCTATATGCCTGAAAAT